AGTGCTGTATAATGCAGCACAATATCACCGCTTGGAGAAGATGGATATCCAGGGTGGGTGCGGGGGGAGGGGGAGGGGCGAGAACAGCGAATGGAGGGGGTGAGGCAAGGACAGGGGAATAATGATGGAGTACTTCAAAGTTTGATGCAAAAACGCATGATCGCACCGGTTCGCCTGGTGCGTTCCAGCCTGGGTTGCAATTTACATATATGGAAAAGCGCATAAAAACTGCACCGTATGACGATAAATTTAGGCGCTAAATTGACAAGGGAAAAATACAAAAGCTGAACGCAATAGGCATTGAACACTAATTAATTATCATTTCGGCACTGCAAAAACAATTGTTGGAAAAGGATAATTGACAACTAGGTACTTCGGATCATCTGTCTGATTCTAGTCTTTTTCGGTGCAACGATTGCAATAATTATTGCAACTAATTCCACTGTAAGAAATGCAAGTTTTCAAGTTTTGCTGTGTAAAGTAATCCATCATTTAATAAATAGTAGCAAAAAAAAAAAAAATAATCGCCTGCTGCTGCGAAGGTCCTGAAAAAAAGCCGGCAAGACCTGATGTGTGCATTGATGTTTGCGACGCTAGAAGGTATATATATATATATGTATGGCATTATATAGATTATAGGTGTTCCAGGAAGTATGTGGAGCACAAAGTTAGGTAGTGCAGTGGACAGTACGTCGTTGTCCAAATACGCAAGGAGTGGTTCGATTCTCGGCCGTTTGATAACGATTTTCAAAAAGGGGTTGTATTCGGTTCACACTGTCGTATTAGCCATTCTGACAATTCTAACGCAGTGGCAAGCACGTTGCACTAATATGCTTCTGAAGCTAGCCCAACAAGCTGCCCCAAAAGTGCGCTCATTAAAGAACGCCAGCAAGTCCATCGAAACACTAGCGCATTCTACACTTATCACTTCGGCAGTATTTAAAAGACATTAAAGTAAGGCTTACGTGTATTGTACAATTATACGATAATTAGGTCCAGTATATTGTTTCAGCACGTCATGCAACACTTGCGGGTCAAATTGTCGAATTTGGGTGGAGAGAGCTTCGGCTATACGAATCAGCTCATTTTCGATTTCTTTTAAGCTTGACTGCACTACTACAAACAAGCTGAATCCTTCTTGTATCATGCAATGGGTTAAAATCTTTCGACAAAATGCTTTTGTTTTACATTTGGATAAAGATGCAAAGACGCATAAAAATAAGCAAAGTGGCAGTCAGAATTTAATAAACAAAGTTTTTATGATTAATCATTTTTGTTGCTTTGGTCAATGAACAACCTTGCCGCTTTTTGAGCATTTTTTCATTCAGTTCCATTTCTCCACTTTTAAAATCGGACACTGTCTTCGCAAAGATTTCTTCAACGCTAAATTCTTTTAGGATTGTCAACGCTTTCTTAGTGTCGCTGCTTAAAACATTCTGCAAATATGCGTTCACTGGAATAATAATTTAAGCAACTACTCGATAATTCGGCGGACTTGTATGTGCTACACACATGACCCAATACGGCCTCAGGAGAAAGTGGACGAGCCTTGAGTTCATTAGCCCTTGTTCAAAGCCGCCTTTTCTCTTGTTTTGCAGTCACTGCTTTCCAGTCTAAACGCTGATCAAAATACCGCATTTAGGGGTTATTCACTTTTTGATTTTGCGCCCGTTCAAAAGTATCCGGTGCTCTCCCAGTTAAGTCCTGCATCTGCTAAATTGCACTCAAAATTTCTTAGCCTAATTCACTGTCATCTCTATTATCACATATCCAGTGTATGTGTCTCTGAGGGCAGAACAAAGGATAAAATGGCTGCCAAGAACTGCCCCTCTTCTGGTATTACATTGTTCGGCTTTGTACTGCCAAACTAACACTGTGGGAGGAAGCGCTTTGCTATGGAAGCTCGGACGCCTGAGAGCGTGTCAGTTGCGAATATTCACCTGCTCAACGGAAAGCGTCATGTTTTCGATATCACTAAGCTTATTCTCCATTCCTAAACAGCGCATTCGTATTACTTCCAGCTCACTCTCGGCACACTCGTAAAGTTCGCTTATTGAGGCTCGATAAAATCTGGTGAGTTCATTGTGCAGCATCAGAAGCTCGTTATTGGCCGTTTTCAGTCGCTGTTCACAAAGAATCGTTTCTTCGAGCACTTCCCTTGCCTCTGAATTAACGTGATTTACTATCCAAATTGGCTGGGCACGAAAAGAATATCCAGCAAAGCAGCACAAGCGCATCCAAATTTGTGTAAGTTTGGCGCAAGTCTGTTTTTTTGTCAGCACGGCGCAAGTATGAGCATTGCTCGTATCTGAAACTGTTCTGTTTATCTCGTCTTGCTCGCCCATCCCTTTGCATTTAAATCAGAAGCGCAAACTGTGCTTGGTACTTCATGCTGAAGCAGAACGACCACGAGTGAACAAGGTGCTTACTAGAGGTATAGAGAAAATTAATTTCATCGAAAATTTAGTAAGTCACCACAAAAAACTTTGTATAAAAAGCTGCCCCGTTGACTGATGGTAAAAATAGCTACTCCTAAAATATAATGTAAGGAGATTTTATAAAAAGTAAAAATTAAAGGATTTTCCCTGCCGGTAAAGCTAACTCATTTCACGCAGCCTTTCGAACAGACTCAAAAACATCTTTCTACTAGGGAAGACAAAATAATCAGTCGGGATTTTAGAAAGCAACAAATGTGAGACATGGCACTTGATCGCATAATTCGTGTACCCGCTTTATCTCACTCATTAGAGTCATTCATGTAGCACATTTCACTCCATCACTCAATTCGTTACATACCATTCACTCAGAGAAAAGAAAAATGTATGCATGCTTTCATGTTTATGGATACTTATATGCATACGCATACCTATATACACATATATATGTATGTACTACATATAATACTATATATACATATATATGTATATATAGTATTATATACACAGTATTTTTGCTGCATGTAGGCGGTGCGGCAAATAGCGTATTAGACGCAAAACTAACCACGAGAAATGTTAGAGAAAAAATCCAGTGCATAAGCTCCTGTAATCTTTTTAACACGTTTAATTATCGATTCCCCACTTGCGGAAAGTAACGCAGATAACGATTTGTTTAACTCTTCAAAATCACCGATCAGTATGCTTCGAATTCTCTGAAACAAATTCCGCGCTAGCAGAAAACGCTGGAATTTTTTTTTACTCCAAGTATTTTCAAAACTAGTTAAAAGGCAGAACCTCGTGCATCTTGTTATGGTTTCTTCGTGCGCTCAAGATCTGAAGTAATATGCTGATGTCAACAAACCTGATCAGTATCTTTCTTATAATACGAGAGGTCATCGATACAGTGAGTGAGACGTTGCGGCAGTTCATCGACTCCGTACTCCGCATACTGGCTACTTATAAGTAGTGTGGATACCGCGAAACTAAATGATTATTAGTTGTTATGATGCAGTAAACTTTTCATTCTTTAAAGACTGAATGTATCAAATTCTGCGCCGAACAGGGCAAGCATCAGAGTTTACGGGAAAGTGGGTCTCGAGTTGCTGTTGCCAACGCTAACCAAGACTGCAGATTTTGATCAGCTTGTAGGAGAGGATTACCAAGGATGATACATGCAATGAGCGTGATGGCTCCGGTGCATTCAAAACTTGCTTGATAGAAGGGCTAAACCTTAACCTTACAGATGCCGAAACTTGTTGGCGATGTTAATTTATTAGAAAGTCTAATTCACAGTCGAAGGATGGATGCTAATTGAACAGCTGCAGTGCGAGAACAGAGGCTTAACGCATAGCTGCCCCAGTAACACCGCAACTCTCTGCCGACTATCCAGGTGATCCTGGTATTTTGGTTTTAAATTGAGTTGAAGAAAAATAAATTCCGAAACAAGACTGACTGCAAGAGGCATTTGAAAAATACCAGACAGAAACAGG